TCTTACTGATGACAACGTTGGACATGGTTTTCACGGAGGGAGAAATCGACCGGCGAGAGGAACACACAGAACCAGAGACAAGAAAAGCCAAACAAATTTGGGAGAGATCGAGACCAAGGAAATTAAGGTTAATGCATCTGTCTGCCTATTTATATTTTTTTACGAGTTGGGCTCTAATTCATTTGGGTTGGGCTTTATTGGCCCCGTTTCTTCCCCATGTCTTTTTCACCTAGTAGTATCTATACAAATTATTTTATAACGTGATTCTGCAAAATGTACCACCAAAACATGGAGATGTGATTTCACCAAAATCATTTTTTCAATTTAATTGTGACATGACATTGTCAAAAATATGACATGGCATTCTAATCCATTAATCTCTAACTAAATTAGCTCAAACTCATTAAAAAAAATAATCACTAACTAAATTAGTCCAAACTCATAAATAAAATCTGTCAATTCCTTATTAGCTCAATTATCGGCTAAAAAGACAATATGAATGTTGTCTTCACAATCACACACGGCTATAGATATTGATATCTTTAGCTAAATATTAATATCTTTTATATTTTAATTGGAGAGTGATTTGCTTATGTGTCTTCACCAAAATCACTCTCTCAATTTAATTGTGACATGACATTGTCAAAAATATGACATGGCATTCTAACCCATTAATCCCTAACTAAATTAGCTCAAACTCATTAAGAAAATTAATCTCTAACTAAATTAGCCCAAATTCATAAAGAAAATCTGCCAATCCCTTATTAACCCAATTATCGGCTAAAACGACAATATGAATGCTGTCTTTACATTCACACACGGCTATAGATATTGATATTTTTAGCTAAATATTAATAAAATACATAAGTTGAATACTATATGTACATGTAACTAGGTGTTTTTCCAATTTTCTTGATTTTAATTAAATTTTAGGAAAATTAACCACACTTTTAAATGAGAAAACAAATTATTCTTTTATTGCAATTTGTCCACTAAAACTTATATCCACTAAAACTAAGGAACAATTGCAAAAATATCACTTTTTGCGTATATTTGCAAAAATACCACTTAGAAATGTCTATTTGCAAAAATACCCCTAATTATGGATTTTTAAAGCCTAAATCTTAAAATTATAAACCCTAAAAAATGTTTTGACCCACACCTCTTGAAACTTGAAAACTAAACTCTAATACAACATAGTTAACCCAAAAATAAACGATATAATGATTTTAAAAAACTAGTGGCATTTGAAAAATGGTATTTTAAAAAATTTCTCTAAACTTAATCTCACAAAAATACTTGAATTTATCATAATTTTATTTTTCATTCTAAAATTATATATAAATTTTCGTTTCTCATTTAAAAATAGTTAGAAATTGATTATTGTAATAATAAAATTCTAGAACATTTTTAATAAAATATATATTCTTTTTGAAATTAATAATAAAGACTAACAAAAAAAGAAATTTGCGGCAATAATATCACTTTTGGTGTGTATATTTTCATGAATGCCACTTAGGGGTGTTCATTTGCAAAAATACCACTAATTATATATTTT